ATGCATTTATGATCGTACATTTGTGTAAAATATAAAGAAATTCATATACCGAAATTAAACTTCATTCCACTATGCTAAAAATACAAATATGTATAAATAAATTTAAGCATGTACACTTTTCATTTTACGAAAATTATATATATGCTACCATTATATATTTTGTATGAAAAATGACAATAAAATTATGAAATTAATTTAGCAATTGTGTGATAATTTGCAGTAAGTGTTTCGACGTGCAATTTTGAAATATTTTTTGATTGTTTATTACATTCTAGTAAATAAAATATTAGGTGATGTTGTTTAATAGTGGGCTACATCGAAAATGATTTAAAGAAAACTTCTTTAAGTATATCATAGTATATTGTAAAAGCTATATGAAGCATAGTAGTGTGCCTACATGCAGCCACAAATGTATTAAACGATAATATAAATATACATCGTAATCGATAAAAAACAGATTAATTTACCATATAATGTCATACTGTATAGTGTACATTCAATTTGGCATTTAGTATTCCATGAAAAGATAAAATCTTTTAGTCAGTGTGATACACTACAATTTACTACGTAAAATCACAAAATAATTCCATATGTATCATCAATAGAATCGATACTTTCGCCGTCCATAAAACATATACACCTTTTATATTCTCAAGTAAAACAGTGCATGCACATACTTCAGAATTAAATATACATATATTCACGTATAGATATTGTGGAAAATATATATATTTATGAAACAGTAAAATATTTGTGGATAAACGTATAAGATCCAATTTAATTATCTGTATAAGGGCATTCAGTGAAAATGAATTCGACCGAAGGAGTCTCAGAAAAAAAAATACAGACAAAAGCAACATTTCCGCAAAAATGAGCCAACCTTGTAAGAGATCGCTAGGCGGACGGGAGGCATCCATAAGACCAGGAATCAGCGGAGACTCAGAATTCCTAGATGGAGGGCCTGTCTCAACAGGCACACACCATAGTTAGTCTGTTACTTATAGTATTTCCAATAACCAGAAATAATTCACACATATATATTCTTAATTACAATATGCATTTAAATAATTATGTATTCATCAAAGAATTATCTTGTTACAAAATTACTAAAAAGAAGATATGAAGATTATCTCGCTATCTTGTTATACAGAATGATCATTTTTATTAGAAATCTTGTACAATTTCACAAAATTTGCAAAAATACAAGTAGTGTGAAAATATTGGTAACTAGTTCGTGTGTCTAGAAACTCTTTTTGAGGATTAATAAGTAATTTGAAATTACCTGAAGAATAAGAACTGGAGGGAAGGTCTGTAGCTGGTGTTTGTGTATTAACGCTGCGAGTAGCCCTCAGTAAGTCTGCTAACGGCGCACGATGTCCTTCCGGCGTAATTTCACGATACCGTGCATACTGAAACAGAAAATAAATATTTGAATAGAATCAACTTTCTATTCTATATATTTCTAATATATCACAGATTTAACATTCAATATATTGCTTACTTTGTCTTCCACTGGGTGATCAGGATCACTGGGATTTGTTGAAGATTTAAGAACGAGTCCTTCAATCTCTTGATTTAATCCTTCAATAGAAGAACGCATCGGGGGCCTCATTGGTTTCATAGGGATGTTCATAGGACTTGCCTTTGTACTCATGCCAAATTGATTGTCTGATAGAGTAATTAAAATAAAATAAATAATCAAGATCAGTAAGAGTCTAAATTGTGAAGCAGCAAATAAACTTACGTATTGATGTTTGTGAAGCAATACTGGGTAGAAGTACTGTATGGTCTGCAGGAAAAGCTGGTGGTGGTCCACCAGGCATTATGAGTCCAAATGCAGCTGTCCGCTCTCTACTACTAGTACCTTCCTTATTTGTACGCTGTAACCTATATATTTTGTTCAATAAGTCGTTGTATACACATATACATTTTAATCATTATAATATATTTTAATTATTTTTACAGGAACTATGAAAAAAATTTTCTAAATATATATATATATATAAAAATGTCTATGTACCGATGCCTAAAGTACTTTTCCAACTTCTCATCTGTTGTGGTTTGTTCTGTAGGATGTCGAGTGTGCAATTTCCTTGGTTCATTGGACCATTCTTCTGTCTGTATACAAAAATATCACATTAATGTAAACACCCTGGAGAGTTTCTCATTAAAGTTTGGTATAGAGAGTTAAAAGAGTGCCATAGCTACCTGAGTAGATTTATCAACCAAAAGGAGACTGGAATGAATGTAGTATGTATCGCGGGGCCATTGTCCTTTTAAGTAGATAGTATCTAATGATGCTGTCCTCCGGATATTTTGGTTTCCACTTAAACTTTCGCTGCATCTTCCACTTAATGTTTTTGATTTTGCTGTAGATAATAATATTTTTAGTAGGAATATATATATAAATCTTGAAGAAATAAAATCAGTTGGTATTAATGTGTGTATGTGAACCAGAACCGGGCTACTAAAAATATATTCGGTTGCTGGATAAAATGAATATACATGTTAAATTAACTTTTAAAAAAATTATAGTGATAGGTCAAGGATAAAAATCAATTTTGTAATCGTTTCTTGTGGAACCGATCTAAGAATGAGTATTCGGTTACCGAATTAATTAGGCAAAGAGATTATGAAATGTAAGAGAGAAGATATTACGAAATTAACTTTAGATATTAATGCATAAATTTACAATATGTTATTATGTCTTCAATGAGACATTTACTTGTTAAAATATTAAAAGCAACAGTCACATTTATAATATCTATGAATTGAATAACTTTACAACATCCAAGATATATAAAACTTGTGCTCACACAAGAAAGAACAATACTCTTCAATAATTTGTATCTTTTATAATAACAATAATTTGTATCATTCATAATAATTTCATTTCATTTCTATTCATCATAATTTACATACATTGACAACAACGATAATTCAACAACAAATGGTTTCCACTATAAATTTTGAAATTAAATCTCATTCCAAACATTGACAAACGGCAAGAATGACAATGATACAATTGCAAATAAATTATGAGGTACGAGATCCATAAAAAATGAAGGAAACAGAGGAGACAGAAAGGAGAAATATCTGCTCTTAATCTTTGAATTGTGGTCCATTATGACCCAGTGTTTGAAAAGCATCATGTAATGAAAAATAAAGAAAAACCTACAACGTGTAATCTTGTTTCTTGTTGAAACACTAAAAGCACAGTAATAGTTGCGACAGCTAGAAATTTCATCCAGAAACTATAAAAATTGTGTCCACACAAGAAGAGGAAATGATCTCCAATAGTTAGTTAATTAGCATGTTCAGCAGAATATATATTTGCAAGTAATAATGATATTCAATAACAAACGATTCTCACAAAACTCTCATCTAAACTTTCCAATCTGGTTGAAAACCATGGGCCATATGCATAAAGACTAATAAAAATATTTACTAGCATTGTTTAAGTAAATACTAATAATGGCTTATAGTGAATTTTCTGATAAGTACTTAAAATACATATGCACTGAAAACTTTAAGTAAATACTATCGTTGTTCTAAACCTGCCGATCATATATTTTAATTTTTCCTCCACTAAATTTACAAAAAATAATGATGGAGTAAAAAAGATAAAAGAGAATGGCAGATAAAATTTGATTTTTTGTGGTATAGGAAATTTAAATACACGTCAAAATACAGTAACCATCTGAGCATACCGTACACAACGTCGAGTACATCAAAAGAAAATTGAAAATTTTTATTAATGTTTAATCTACTTGCGACAGTAACAAATTATTTATAAGAGCTGAAAAAAATCTAAGAATCATATAAATGTACAAGATTAAGAAATTGTTAAATTCTCAAATAATTCTCAAATA